CCCCGACAAGGATCGACACGCGTCGACGCGTCGCACACGATCTTCTGCTTCACAGAACCGACGCGTTCCGATCGGCTGCTCGATATTTACCCCATTGCACTCGGGTGGTAACTCCGAGGCACCACTAAAATTTGTTATGTCACGTACTAAATTAACTAAATTTTATATTAACGAAACTTAGATTTAAAAAGTTCTTGAAAGCGTAACCGTCGCGCAAGTCACAAAGCTCAACATGGTGTGCATAAAATACATTCCGTCATATAAAATGAAAATGCTGTGAGTCAGAAAAATGATTTTAGATGTACAGCTAAGACGGAGCTTCGAGTGCAAAGGGTTACTAAACTGCCGATATTTATGCAAAATAAAAATTGTCCGCATCAATTGCAAAACGTAGGAAACCAAGTGAAATCTTGTTTCTCTCCTAAATAATTCGAATAAGTTGCAATTAACGTATTCACAGTTTTAGTTTCTCTTCATTTCTACTTTGTTCTATGCTTCGCGCATACATTTTCTCCTGTGAACGACGATATACAGTAATATCTCCCTAACTGACGCTCAGATTGTGCACAAAATGGACAATTTGGAGAGAAGGAGATACGATTATTCGTGTTTTGCTTCTCGTTTTTATAGTTCTTAACCTGTCTCTTATACACATCTAGATGTGTATAAGAGACAGGGCTCGAATAATCGTATCTCTCCTCTTCCCAAGTTGTCCATTTTTGTTTATAAGTTGGGAGAATTTAGCGTAGTACGGTAATGTCTCTCTAATTGACGCTCAGATTGTCCACAAAAGTGGACAATTTGGGAAGAGTAGATACGATTATTCGAGTCTGGTGGCTCGTTTTTACAGTTACCGATTGTTAAGAACTATAAAAACGAGAAGTATAAAAGCTCGAATAATCGCATCCCCTCTTCCCAAATTGTCCACTTTTGTGGACAATCTGAGCGTCAATTAGAGAGACATTACCGTACTACGCTAAATTCTCCCAACTCATAAACAAAAATGGACAACTTGGGATGAGGAGAGATACGATTATTCGAGTCTGGCGGCTCGTTTTTACAGTTACCGATTGTTAAGAACTATAAAAACGAGAAGAATAAAAGCTCGAATAATCGCATCTCCTATTCCCAAATTGTCCCCTTTTGTGGACAATTTGAGCGTCAGTTAGAGAGACATTACTGTATCAACAAGTTATAATTAGCGTAGAAGTAGAAGTAATCGTAGGCCGTGGGCCAAGGAAGTCGGCCGCTTAGCCGTATTCGACGAGCATACTCGTGATAACGCAAACTGTTTCTTCGTGACGAGTATACTCGTCGAAAACAGCTAACTGGTTAAGAAGGATAATATATTTCGATATACTTCGTCAAATTATATATTTCACGTAAGCGTTGCGTTCGAACGATATCTGAAAAATACCGAACAAGTATATAGTACAATTACAGTGACTTACACGCTTTTCAAAGAGATTACAACAGCTAATTGGTTAAGCGGAGTAAATTTTATTACAAGCAATTATACTAGAAGCAATCGCTGTAATCAGCTTTAGCTTTGCCAGCTTCGGTTTAAATTCAGCTTTAAATTCGTTTGCGGGATTTATGATGGTTGCGATGCGTCAGGGAACGTGTAAAAGTCAGCGACATGCTTTCTAGAATAGTTCTGCAAGTCTAACACGCTGAGAACGGATCGGTTAGTCTTATTTCGCTCGCGTGCAACTTATTAACTTTTTAGTTAGCGATTCTATGGGATCGTGAACGCAATTTTGTGGAAAATCTGAGCGTCGATTAGAGAAACACATTACTGTAATCCGCCTGTGTCCGATTCTCCGTCTCGTACTCGAATCCTTTGACACGGTTCTCTCGGAGACGCGTCCTTCGTGTTCCAGTCGGTCGGGGACTGCGGCAGATACCGTGTCAAGACTTCAATGCAATCTCAAAAAATCTACATAATGCCGAGAAATCTGATACCGAACCGACGCGCGGCGTCCCGTGACCGGACTATCGATGTCCAAGGAAAATTATGCATTCGCGGCAACGCGAGACTTTGCCTCCCCACCCACCCCTCCGGAGAGACCTGTCCGTGTCGATAATGGAGCGGAAACGTGCTTGAATTCCATTTGAAAGTCGTATTTTTCGAAACAGTACCCGCAGCCACTAACTTGGTGGACTTTGTCCGATCTAGGCGGAAGTGGACGAGTCCGTGAGGAACAAGGCCACCATTGCTGACCTGTACAGGGTGAAGGCGAACTTCAGGGCCACGCTCTACACCAGTCTGTTAGCCGGGTTCCAACAGCTCAGTGGCATCAACGTCGTATTGTTCTACATGGAGGCGATCTTCATCAGCGCCGGCACGGACATCCCGACAGCGATCGCAACCATCATCGTCGGTGTCGTCCAAGCACTCGCTTCCGCTGTCACCCCCGTCGTGGTCGACAGACTGGGCAGGAAGATGCTGCTGATCTTCTCCGGTATCGGAGAGATCGTCACCTTGGTGAGTGCGAATTCCGATAAACCCTTGGCTCTTCTAGGGCTCGTTAGACTCGCTTCGACCGATCGAAATCTACAGGGTGTTCCATAATCATGTTAACACCTAGAATGGGGTGATTCCTGAGGAGATTCGAAGCAACTTTCTTCTTTACAAAAATTTTCTCCGAGGCATCGTTCACGAGTTATTCACGAAAAACTCTGACCAATGAGATCAGCGAGATCGACAGGCGCGAGGTGGCCGAGCCAACGAGCGGTCGAAGCCCAGCCCCGATGATTGGCTCGGCCCCCACGCGCCAGATGATCTTGTCTCTCATTGGTCACTGTTTTTCGTAAATAACTCGCGAACGAAGCCTCGTAGAATATTTTCGCTAAGGAAAAAGTTGCTTCAAATGACCCCGGGAATCATATTTTTCCGTCTGTTAACACAATTATGAGACATCCTGTAGATCTGTAGAATTCGGTCTCGAGATCGTAGCCGAGATCGGCGATAAAGGTCGGCGAAGACTTTAATAACGCGTTCGCGGTAACAAGCAGATCGGATCGAATCGCTGATACAAGACCGCAAAATATACGCGGCGATTACGTCTCCTTAAACAGGGCAGAGGAACATCGCAGTAACGCCGACTTCACGAAGACACTTTTTACGGTCCGAGGCGCCGAGTAATGGGCGAACCGTGATCTCCGCGAGATCGTCGGACTGTTGTCATTTCAAACGGTTTTGCTTCGAGGATCGAGGACCGCGATATCGTCGCAGCGATGGTACCGGTGTCGTTCATCAAAGATACGGGATTCGGCAAAGCGGCTAATGGATCCGCCGTTCTGCCGCGCAGAGTACACTGGATCAGTCGGAAAATTAACAGTAGACCCGTATGCAAATTCCGACGTTCCTTATCGCGAGCAAATAGATATCCTACGTACGATCTCCTAGTTGATGAAGTGGGTTACGGACGCGGCGTTCTGATTCTGGTCGATTGTCGCGCTGCACACTAACGCTAGCCAAGCAGCATAGTCCTCGGCTCTGCATGCTGATGCGCAATCCCGGGGCATCCGAATAGTTCGCGAATTATTTCAATTGACTCCCGAAGAGCCGTCGGAATCCCATGATATCGCGCACGCTCGACTACAACGGATTTCCCGAGGTCCAAAACGATCCAGCGATCTCGAGGACTCGTCGTTTTTTTGCTTGGGAATCGCCGGCGAACGCGGTCTCCGCGACCTCGAGACCACTGGTCGTCGAGCGAGTTTCGCGGGTGTTGCGAAATTGTATGTGGTCGGGAACAAATCGATCGCGGCCTTGCAGCGACTATTCAAATCGATTTATGTAACCTCCCGTGTGTGCTCGTCCGCGCGCGGATGCACTCCTGATGCACCGACGAAGGCGGCCGCATTCCACCGACGCGACGCGCACGCGGATACGTCGAAGCCTTTCGTTCGCAACCTTCGTTGATTTTCGCGCGGTTCCTGCGCCTCTTTCCTTCGCCTCATGCCGGACGATCCTCCTACCATCATGGTCGATGAATCTTCGAAATAGTGGATCGAGGATCTCCTTTCGTGCTTCATCCGGTTCAAAGTTATCCTATTAGTCAAGCCTATGGGCTCAAAGAAACGCTACAGTAATGTCTCCCTAATTGACGCTCGGATTGTGCACAAAAATGGACAATTTGGGAAGAGGAGATACGATTATTCGAGCTTTGCAGCTCGTTTTTATAGTTGTTGACAATCGATAACCATAAAAACACGAGTCACAAGGCTCGAGCAATCGTATCTCCTCTTCCAAAATTGTCCATTTTTGTGGACAATCTGAGCATCAATTAGAGACATTACTGCACTGCGCTAAATACCCCCAGCTTGGAAACAAAAATGGTCATCCTGTCGGACGATCCTTCTACCATCATGGTCGATGAATCTTCGAAATATTGGATCGATGATCTCCTTTCGTGCTTTATCCGGTTCAAAGTTATCCTATTACTCACGCTTATAGGCTCAAAGAAATGCTACAGTAATGTCTCCCTAATTGACGCTCGGATTGTGCACAAAAATGGACAATTTGGGAAGAGGAGATACGATTATTCGAGCTTTGCAGCTCGTTTTTATAATTGTTGACAATCGATAACCATAAAAATGCGAGTCACAAGGCTCGAATAATCGTATCTCCTCTTCCAATTGTCCATTTTTGTGGACAATCTGAGTGTCAATTAGAGAGACATTATCGTATGGCGCTAAATTCTCCCAGCTTAGAAACAAAAATGGACAACTTGGGAAGTGGAGATACGATTATTCGAGCCTTATAACTCGTTTTTATAATTGTTGGCAATCGATAACCATAAAAAAGCGAGCCACAAGGCTCGAGCAATCGTATCTCCTCTTCCAAAATTGTCTATTTTTGTGGACAATGTAAGCATCAATTAGAAAGACATTACTGTACTGCGCTAAATTCCCCCAGCTTGGAAACAAAAATGGACAAATTGGGAAGAGGAGAGATACGATTATTCGAGCCTCGCGACTCGTTTTCTTTTACAGTCGCCGATTATCAACAACTATAAAAACGAGCCGCGGGACTCGAATAATTGTATAGAATTCGCTCTGATACCAAGAATTAACGATCGGAACGCGAAGAGACAATATCTGAAGAACATGTGACAGGCGCGGCGTTCTTCCTTGCAATCGCGGAATTAGCTTCGCCGGAATGATTAGACTTTGCATTCGTGCGGCTAAATATTGCGGGCAACGCCGGCGGCTTCCAGGATGACGGTCCGAAAACGAAACGCGTGCGGTTGTCCTGTTGCGTCGGTCGTGTCGCAATCGAGAAAAATATTTCCGTAAACAGGCGCGCGTGCTCTCCTGTCCGCGCCGGCGCGGCGGTTCCAACAGTGACTTCACGCATCTGGAATTGTGAGGTCGCGTTTAATTGTCCGTCGCAGATTGTTGCACCGATCGGCGGTCGCGTTCAATGTCAATGCCTCGTTACGCGCATCCGAAGGATTGCGCGACTCTTTATCGAAGGATCTCGACCGTGGCCGCGCGCGGCCTGAATTTTCATGAGAAAACGATGACGGCGAGAAAAACGCTGACAGCCTGTCTGGCGGGGCACGTCGTCTTCGGGAACGCCTGGAATGCGGTTAATTAGCATCCGCTGATAATTTCGTAATTCACGATCGAGTCGGTCGCGGCGACGTTTCGCTTCGCACGCGCCGATCAATTATTCTCGCGCGTACGTGTCGGGTGCTCGAATCGAACGTTCGTACTTGAAATTCGATTGAATTCGCGAGACTCGAAGAGATACGTGCTCACTTTCAAAATTAGAGATACAGTAATGTAACAAGGAAAAGAAAGCAGGTATTGATTTCTTGATTTACGAAGGTCCTTTTGTTCGCAATTGTGTCCCGCGAGTGGTCGATTCCGCATTACCATTACAGTAATGTCTCTCTAGTTGACGCCCAGATTGACCACAAAAATGGACAATTTCGGAAGAGGAGATACGATTGTTTGTGCCTTGTAGCTCGTTTTTTATGGTTATCGATTGTCAACAACTATAAAAACGAGCTGCAAGGCACGAATAATCGTATTTCCTCTTCCCAAGTTGTCCATTTTTGTTTCCAAGCTGGGGGAATATAGCGCAGTACAGTGCTGTCTCTCTAATTGACGCCCAGATTGACCACAAAAATGGGCAATTTGGGAAGAGGAGATACGATTATCCGAGCCTTGCGGTTTATTGTTATAGTTATAAATTGTCCACAATTATAAAAACCTGCCGCAAGGCTCGAATAATCGAATATAATAATAATAATCTCCTGTTCCCAAATTATCCATTTTAGTGGACAATCTGAGCGTCAGTAAGGGGGACATTACTGTAATCGTTTGCTTTTTGCCACAACTACGGTGCAGTTCGCAGTGCATTCCTTCTGCAGTCGTTGACGCCTGAACTTACCGAGCCGGTCAGAATGACCGGTTCCCCATCTTTTTTAGTTTCAAAATTGTTGAAATTATAGAGATTCTTTCACAGAAAACGATCGAATCATTCATTTCTGAATTCGAGTCTCCGCTATTGTTAGAAAAACCAAAAAGTTCGTATACAGGCTGTCATAAATTTGTTCCCACGATTGTTCAGCGTCTTTCGGTGGTCCGACAAGAAAATGTTTCCTGTCAAAGTTAATTAGTAATCAACCGACAAGAAATAGCAATTGCTTAAATTTTAAAACAAATCGATTTTCGATTGAAAAACATGGTCAACGTCATATATTTAAATGAAACTAGGTTATTTTAACTTCATAAAATTGTATGCGACGACGAGACAAGTTCAATGAACTGCTACATGATGACTTTCAGATGACATTGAAGAAAAAATTACCGTGGTATCGATTGTCACGATATCTGAAATAATTTGGCGATACGTAACATCAAGGCCTCGCACGTAAATCTAAACGAATGAACGTAAACGTTATAAATATCCATTTATTCGATTTCAAACCTTAACACATAAAACAAAAGAACAATTTATATAAAACCAAATATTGTGGCAATCGAATCGTGGCGGATTTTTCCTTCAATGTCATCCGAAGGTTATCGTGGTCGTTGATTTCGTCTCGACGTTGCCTACAATATTACGAAGTGAAAATTGCCTAGTTTCATTGAAAAATATAACGGTGACCTTGTTTTTTTTATCGAAAATCAATTTATTCTTAAATCGAAGCAATTGCAACTTCTTGTCGGTTAAATACTAATCAACTTCGATAGGAAACATTTTCTCGTGGGACCCCTCGGAAGGGGCTGAAAAGTCACAGAGACTAATTTGCGACTCACCTTGTACATTAGGTCGAGCCATAAATGACTTCTTTATCGGACATTTATTTTGTTTTTGCCTTATTTACTTTTCCCTATTTTATTTTATTTATTTTGAACCGTTATCTATGCGGTAAAAGCAAAAACACGTTTGTCTCGAGTGACTCATAGCGGGGCAGTTACAAACAATACATTTTCACTTAGCCGCATCCGAAGTTATTTACGACTGGTCCCAATAAATTCGATGTTCGCGTTCTTACGAAACAACGCAGGTCGATCGGTCTTAGTTTTCGGCGCACTTAGCATAAACGTTTCGCAGCCGAGATCGCCGAAACGTCTGCAGCGCGTGGTGTCACACCTTTCCGCTGCTCTGCGCCCTGTTCTCTCGCGGCGGAGGGTGAACGAACTCGTAAAATCTCGACGACTAAAATCGATCGTTTTAAACGTTGCAGGGCGCACTGGGCACGTACTTCTTCCTGAAGGAGGTGCAGAAGAACGACGTGACCGGGATCGCCATACTGCCGGTCGTCGCGCTGGTGATATTCATCGCGACGTACTGCGTGGGCTGGGGCCCGCTTCCGTGGACCGTGATGGGCGAGATGCTTCCTGCGAACGTGAAGTCGAAGGCCTCTAGTATCGCGGTGTTCACCTGTTGGCTGCTCGCGTTCTTCATCACAAAGTTCTCGAGCGACCTGGAGAACGCGTTCGGCAGATGCACGCTGTACTGGATGTTCGGGGTGTTCTGCGTGGTCAGCGTGGTGTTCACGGTGGTGGTGCTGCCGGAGACCAAGGGCAAGAGCGTGCAGCAGATCCAGAGCGAGCTGGACGGAAGTTGTACCGCCCAGTTCGTGGCCGGCGAGAAAATGTGAACGCAGTATTAAAAACGCGGCACCGCGAGACACGCGACACGCGTCGTTCCGGCCGTGCTCTTTTTTCAGTTCCGTTTCGATTAAGTACGTCTTCATACTGCCAAAGACCACCGAGGTCGCGATTCCTCGGGGCTCTACATTAGTAGCCAGCTAGGAGAGCCCGAGAACAATGGACGATTACGATCGGGTCGGATACGCTCACGATTGCTTACAATGTTAAGGAGCTTATCTTAGACGCAATATTAATATCGTTAGCGATAGGAACCACGGAGGACCAATCGGGGCACAGAGACGAGTGTCGCTGGCTTTTCGTGGGAAGCCTTTGTACGGTAACAATTTAGTGGATCCTTTGTTTTCCACTGTCCGGGAGATTCTTACACGATCAAATACAAACTCGAGATTAGGCTGCGCGTTTTTACGCAAATTTCACGAATATCACGGTATGTTCCGTTCACCGAAGGCTTTCTCGCGATACGGATATTCTATAAGATACGTTTCGCATCCACGAAGATCCGCAGTACGGTAATGTCTCCCTTACTGACGCTCAGATTGCGTACAAAAATGGATAGTTTGGGAAGAGGAGATACGATTATTCGAGGTTTGCAGCTCGTTTTTATAGTTGTTGACAATCGAGAACCATAAAAAACGAGCCACAAGGCTCGTATCTTCTCTTCTAAAATTGTCCATTTTTTGTGGACAATCTGAGCGTCAATTAGAGAGACATTACCGTAGTCGGCTCATGACATTACGATCGATCGACCGAATTCGCTGACGCGTTACGATCGCGAATATTAAACGATAGAAGATCGCACGGCGGCTCGTTCGCAAATCTGTCCCGGTCGGCCCTCCCATCTGCGCAATAATAGTTTCTAAATGTATGTATATTTATTATTACCTGTTTAAGTCTTAGCCGTTCAACGTACACGCGCATATGTTCGTACGCGTACGGTTCGAAGCGGTTCGTCGCTCGAGCCCGGAATATTTAATATTTGTTAATCGCGATTGCGTCGAGCCGATTTCAAATTTGCGCGACTCCTGTAATTGTTTTAATCGATAGACGAAAGACTAGGAACGCGGGAGACTAGACGTTGATCGCGGGAATCATTGCACGAGATCGAGATCGAGATCGAGATCGTTTCCGGATTCGGAGATCGCTGGACCGTTCTCCGCGGAACGATCTCGGCGAGCGGAAATTCCGCGGACACGGGGGAGGAAAATGAAAGGGTTAACAGCGTAGAAGGAATGTTTTCGAATCGCGGCGATCCATCGTTCGCGTGTGGCTGCGTGTGTCTGTGATCGAGTATGCCAGCGAATAGTGGCCGATTTGCTTCGCCGATTCGACGCGTCGACCGGCGCATACATATTCCAGAGAAATTGAAAATGTATCAGCCGTTGGCGCGATAACGATTCAAATGCAACGAATAACGTTGCGTAACATCGCTTTCGGAAATAGTTTCGATTCGGCGGTCGACGCGCCGAAGAATCGCGGCTATCGGCTCGGAAATTCTAGATAAACACGGCGGACAACGCGCGTTCCTATATTTAGCGCGATCGTACGAAAACACTGGGAAAAGCAGCGTGTCCTCGGCAAGTTCTCGGGCCGTTTTCAACGCGAGCACGGAGAGCGGAGCGGAAGTCAGCGGTCGCAAGGAATCGGATTTTCCACGGGACCGTGATCCGCGAACGCTCCGAGAAGTTGCCCGAAGAATGCGCGATTCGGAGCGCGAAACTACGGCCGGGAATTCGGAGGATACGCGTCTTCGCCGAACACGTAATTTCCTGGGATTGTAGTATTTTCCGGAATTTTATTATCTCTACGGAGCGCCGCGCATCGTTTGGGCATAGCCGCGTACTTCGACGATTTCTATTCGAGCGACAGCATTTTCGGAGAACCGTGCGTTCCGCCAACATGTCATCCGTATGTATTTTCATACATCATTGTGCATAATGTTACCATGCAACGCGATATCTGTCGGAGTTGTTATTCAGCGCGGATCGACGAATTGTCGGTTTTCCGTATTCATTTTATTCGAGTGGCCAACCCGGCAAGGACTGTACTTATCGTTCAGTCGCGTACCAAAGACCGTATTCCCCTGGGACAACGACGGGAACGAACGTCGGCGGAGCCGCGCCGCTCGAAAATCCTCGTAAGCTGCGATGCGCTTCAACTGCATAATGATTAATGATACAGTTCCGAGCGGTTCCGCGAAACCGACGATTAATATAGTCGACGATTCTTGATCGAGCGGTGCAACATTCGTATTTCCTTCGCATTTATCATACGTAATTTTATACAGTTTGAGAGAGAGAGAGAGAGAGAGAGAGAGAGAGAGAGAGAGAGAGAGAGAGAGAGAACGCGAGAGAGAGAAAGAGAGAGAGTGAAAGTGTGCGTGCATAAGCGGGATCGTGCGCCAAACGTATTTTAATGTTATAAAAATTGCTGGAAGAACGGTTACATATCAATCGATTAATCGGGCGTTTTACTCGGACGCGAGACATATCCTTCGAAGCGCAACAATTTTGTTCGGTTTGTATGTGTGTGTGCGTGTGTGTGTGTGGGAGACGCGCGAAGCGAAAAGGCGATTCGATTACAATCTATAGGTAGATTCGCGCGGGAAGAATAATCATTTAGCCTAGAGGCGTGCGAACGATGATCAGCTGCGCCAGCGCCGGTCGTGTGTGTGTGTGTGTGTGTATCGTGTTTGACGATTATCGAGGTCGGTCGCATGCATATTCAAGGATCCGGAACAGGAATGAATCCCCTTTACTTCACCGTTTAGAACGACTGCTCGGATTTACGTCGGCATTCGCATGCGACGACCTTCCAGGCGTCGTTCGCTCCGGTTCGAGGCGGGACTGGAACGAAAAAATAGTCGAAGTTGTTGCAAAGTTAGCTTCGCGATTCGCGCCGCCGGCCCATCGAGGCGGAAGCGAGTTTTCCTTTCGGAAATTTCTAGACGCAAAGTTTGTCCAGATTTGAGCCGGACGTCGCGCAATCATTCCTAGAACATGTTCCTTTTCACGAGCAATAAGACTTTTCATTTGTTCGAGGACGGGGGACTGTCACGAACAACGGCGAGAGATCGTGGCTACAGTAATGTCTCTCTAATTGACGCTCAGATTGTCCAGAAAAATGGCCAATTTGGGAAGCAGAAGCTCCGATTATTCGAGTCTTGCGCCTCGTTTTTATAGTTTTTGAGAATTGGTAATTATAAAAACGAGGCGCCAAGACTCAAATCAATCGTAACTCCTCTTCTTAAATTGTCCATTTTTGTATAGGATCTGAGCGTCAATTAGAGAGACATTACTGTATTTCGTAAATAAACACCCGGTGTGCTCATCGAACGTATTACCTAGAGTTTTCTTTCCCTTTTTTTTTAACGCGCCCGATGCGCGAATCGGCGAGCGTGAACAGCGGAAGAAAGGCCTTCGAGACTAGCTCCATGAATGTGATGATGATTTTAGTTAGGATAACGAGACGCCGCGGCGGGTCGCGGCGTTCTATTTTTTTACGAGATCGACGAAATATTGCGGCGGGGAGAGGCGGCAACGATGTGTCATGTAGGTGTCAGGGTACAAAACGGGAGCAACCTGTGTGGAAAACGTTCCGCGAAAAATTCCGGGAGCATATCGCCCGACGCGACTGTATATATATATAATACTACACACTATTTACTACATAGTATATTACTACGATAATAACTTTTGTTACGGCTAAATAAATTATATCTTTCAAGTATTACATAGATCGTGCCATTTCCTTGGCCTATCCACTTACCGCATTTCATTCCTGACACTGTTCCGGCAGCGCGCTGATTACAAGACATTTCAAGGACTATGCTGTAATCAGAAGAACGTTAATAAGTTTTCAAAAGTCCTTCACCGTCCAAATGCAATCAATCTCGGCGAAATTCGCAGCGGTGAATTCGATTTCGAAAGAAACAGTTGAGCGTTGCATCGAGGTGTTGTCCCAAGCGACGATCGTCGAGAGGAAATCAAGACGCCTGCTTGGTTATTATTGTTCCTTGGGAAGCGTCAAGAAATATCAATAAATAACTACGATTCTGCTATCGGGAACAAAATGTTAGCGGCGGAGACTCGTTTGCAGAACATAGAGACGGAGATGGTAATGTGTCCAGACTCTTGAAATGCATCGAATCGAGCGTATTCATTTTCCTTCTGAGCATGATCCTGCCTTTCCTAGGACGAAGAGGACACGAGACTGCAGGACGAGCTGCTTCAATTAGCCGACGTCCTATTGGCAAGTATTATATCTAGCCCGTTTCATATTTCACACCCTCGGAATGCAGGAATCACCTGCAAAAACCGCAAGAATTCTCGCGATTGGTATTAGGGTATCCCATAAGTTCTTTCCTCTTTTCTGATGCGAAATGATTACATAATATTTGTTGTTTAAGGTTGATTTATTGAGTTATATACGCACCGTTCTGCTCTATTACCTTCTTCCATCTTTCAAGATTACCTTTTTCCATCTTTCCAAGATTGTTGAGGCTTATTTGCAAAATATTGATCAATGTGCGCTTTTATTTCGCTTACGAACTTAAACCGTTTTTCACGGAGAGAATTTTTTCACGAGAAGAACAAGTAATAATCGGATAGAGCAATGTCTGGGGGGGGGGAGGGGGGTTAGAACGACCCAATCAAATTGCAATAATTTTTGTCTTACGACCAACGCAACATGCGGTTTTGCGTTGTCGCGACGAAAAACGACGCCGCGTCGATTCGCCAATTCTGGCCGTTTTTCTGCTATGGCGGCTTTCAATTCGTCGAGTTGATTACAATATTTAGCTGAATCGATCTTTCATCTTGAGGAAGGAGCTCGTAGTAGACTACATCTTTCCAGTCTCACCAAATGCACGAAAGAACTTTCTTCGGATGATGTCCTGGCTTTGCAACAATTGAGGGACTATTTCCTTTTGACCAAGTTCGTTTTCGATGCACATTTTGGTATAAAGTCCAAGTCTCGTCTCCAGTGACAAGCCTCTTTAGGAAAGGATTTCTTCCATGTCATTGGAGAAGCAAATCG